ACTCAACCTGCCATATTAAGTCCATTCCTAATCCATTTCTTGTAAATTATTTATTATGATGCATTTCATTGTGGGTTTATAATACACTCGCTGCCTGGACTCCCGCACATGGCGCTTAATGAAAAGCATTCGCTTTTATTAATCTTTGCTTGCTATTTTAAAACACCCGAAGCGCACTGCACACTAGTAATAACTAGTAATTTAGTGCAAAGGCATTGTTTGAAAAATACACAGGTGTTGAGACGAGCACAAGGTTTTGCTGATACCGGGACACGCGTGTAACATACTCTCAATCACATATCACGCGTGTCAGCTGCAGCTTTCAGGAGAGTTCACTAGTTCAGACGCTAAACTGTTCACCTCCTGACATCTGGGTGCATTAAAGCTGATGGATGTTGCAAGTATGCAACATTTTTTTCACTCAAGCTTCATGATTTCAAGCCAACGCGAATACTAATGCGCTTCAATATGTGTATGTGTACACGTAAACACATATGTGTGTTCATAGAAGTACATTTAAACCCTTGTAAAATTGATAGAATTGTACATATGTGCATGAATAAAGGGGAAGAATCATTTTAGATCAACGGTTGGTTCCAGATGATGACGCCTGGAGCGCATTTTGTTCTTCTGCCCGACTGAGACTTCTAAGACCTGCGGATGGTATTGGCGGGTGTTTGCGTCTCTCCCCGGGGCCGCCAGCCGAAGGCCGAGCGCAGTTGCACTTCTTTTACAGTCCCGAACAACTTGTCAAGGACAAAATGGCTTCAGCGTGACGCGGCTCACTCAGGTCTCCACAGAGCCGCAACATAAATAAAGTGTGCAGAGGCGTAATCATAGACCTTATGACTGCCCCCCCACTGCTTTCCTCCTGGCGTAATTATTCCTGATATAGCAACGGTATGCGTGTCTAGTCTACAGCTCTCGGGCCACTTTCCCCGGATTTAAATTGCATTCATTACCTTATTTATCTAAACTACTAAAAGAGAAATAGGCACCAAGAAGTCTTTCAGTTAAGCCCCTCCCACCCCCCCCATTTTGGTACTTTGTCTCCGTTGTCCAGTCAACGTAGAGACAAAGAGAGGTTGTCTTCCTCTGTCCTCTTATTCATCAAACCAGGACAGAGATGTGAAAAGTTGCCGGTCGCCTTTTGTCCTCTGCTTTTCATGCAAATAACACCATCGACGAAGCCGACACTCACCACGTAATGAGAGGAGGCCGACGAGAGCGCCGAGTGCACGGGGGCGATAAGTGGGAGAATTGATAGGGGGGGGTCGGGGGGGTTGTTCGAAAAAACCAAATCATAAGAAAAACTAGGCAGGTAGAGATAAATAGCGTCAAAATATGAAAGGAAGGGGGGAATCTGCAGCCGTCCCTCTTTTCTGGAGATGGACCCCACTGTGGTCTACGCTCGGTCAGCGCCCGGCCTCGGTCTGCCGTGGGGGGGGCTGCTAAGTGTCTGCTTCAGAACGCCGTGTACAGACTCCGGTCCAAACACATAATCACACACACTCACACGGCACCTTCCACCTCCACAGCAGGCTGTGCAGACAGGCGGCATGAATATTTATCGGAGTGCTTTGGTAATGACTTCACACAGCCGACGGAGCTCTTCTTTCATATTCTCGCACGTCGGATGTTTCAGCGGCCAACTTCAGCCTCCAGCTGCCTCCTCCTGCCACGGGCAGCCACCTTGGAGGGTGCGGGGGGGGGGGGGGGGGGCACTACTCTTCTGGGGGTGGGCGGGGCTCCCGCCCCTCCAAAAACGAACCATGGCGGAAGAAGGTGTTAAAAAATGTCAGGGTCCGGTTCCGCTCGCGGGGAATTGGATTTCAAAATCAAAGAGCTCATTCGCCAAAAGATTTAACGCCCTGGTTCCGTTTTATCTGCTGGCGTTCAGTGGAACAAAAAAGCATAAATGTCACTTGTGAAAGTGCATTAGGGAGAGCAAGCGACTGCTCGCGCGGCTCTCCACCTTTCAAAACAGATTCATCAGGAGGCGCGCGCACACACACACACACACACACACACACACGCGCGCGTTCATTCTGTCCACAAGCACACACGATGCGGTAGGCTTTAATAAGTACGTCTCTGTGGATTTATCACTGCGAGAGCAGAATATGTTGTGGTTAAAAGGCTTTTAAACACAATATTAATAATAAAAACTTGAACAATTCAGTCCCTATTTTGTTAAGACATTTTGATTGAGTGGAAAGACAGTTTTCCTCATTATCAGTGTGAGTGTGTGTGTGTGTGTGTGTGTGTGTGTGTGTGTGTGTGCAGGGTTTTTTACAGCCAGGGTTTTTTTTCCATACACAAGCGCTCCATGAGCTGGTCGGCCAAAGACACTCTGGTTTGAATTCTTTGATTTGTAGCTGACAAAGAAACAGAAACGGAACAGAAGAGAGTTTCCGGGCGGTAATCTGTGCGTCGTGCCTCGTATAACTGCTTCGTCAACTCTCCACCCCAGCGACGTGAGCCCCGTTAACCTAGACGTTTATTAATGACCATCACTCCGGTTATTGTCCATCCGGGGCCCACTTAGCGCCGGGTTTTGGTTTGGTCGGGGTGAGTAACACTGTGTTCTTTCCTAATTCCAACCAGGCGACGCGAGTACAAAACGTGACCGGTTTAATTTGTGAGATTGTTTTCTGCATCCGGAAACAAATGTGGATTCAGATTCTTCAAGGGGTACAGTATTTATTTTTGCAAAAAAATCTGAAACGAAAGGCTCTGGATCAGTGCAGTTACTTGTACATCTAACTTGATTAAGTGTTTGGTGAATGAAATATCAGTAAATGTTATGGAATTCCCATCACAGGGTCCCAGAGCCGCGGCGAAGGCCACGAAATCACAGTGTGACAATGAGGGACGACGTCCGAGGCAAAATGTTACCACGGTTGAAACACTTTGGTTTTTACTGAAGTTTTTTTTTGTTCTATATCTGAGCTCTTTACACTAAATTAAGGCTGCAGAAAGACGATGTCACAATATTTCAACCTGATGACCATTAGGTTGTTTATGTTGCCAGACCAGTGAGTGAGAGGGACAGAACAAATCCCAAATATACTCCGATAACATTTTCAATGCCTAATATGTATTCTATTATTATTTTAATTATGGTTCTACTTATTTATTTCGCAGATATAAAATAAACAAAAGGAGAGAAAATACAAAACGTCACAAAATACAATAAATAGAATAAACAATTGTAACAGCAACGAAAACTACAAATACATCAAAAGACACACACACACTTAAACAAAGCTGAGTGAGGGGACAATATGCAGGTGTTAGTATGCATGTGTGTGCGTGTTCACATGTTAAACGAGGCGGACCCCTCTGTGCTGATCCCTGCATCAGAGGACTGCATCACAACATTTACATGATCAATGCTTATTTTGCGGGGGAAAAAAAGAAAAGAAAAAAAAAAAACCTGCGTCCACGCCGGCGCGTCTATCTCGGTGCCCATCAACTGTGTAGGCTTATTTTAATTGTTGCCATGGAAACAGAGTGCTGCCAGAGAAGTCCAGATTCAAAGAGGGCATCTGTCTCACTCTGTGACTCTCTCTCCTCCTCTCTGTCCTTCCTCGCTCTCTCTCCCTTCGCCTTTCTCATCTTCCTGGCGTCTCACCAAGGCCTTCCATGGTTTCCTCCCACTGCCTCCCTCCTCCCCTCCCTCCTCCCCTCGCTATCGCCCCGTACCTCTTATCCTCCCTCCCACTCCTGCATCCTTCCTGGAGATTGCTGTGCAATTGACTATCAACACAGGGACCTGTAATTAGAGCTGACGAACCTCCAGCAATTAGTTTTTCACTGGAGAAGTTGTTCTGTCATGTGCATACGTCCCTTTATCCCTCCCTCCATCTTCTTTTCTCGCTCTATCGTCCCTCTCTGTCACTTCCTGTCTTATTAGCTGTCAGCTTCGCGGGGCGGTTATTGTTTTAGTGTTTTCTTTTTTGTTCTTTTGTACCTTCCATCTGCCTTGTTAACGACATGCACACACAATACACCACTCAGAACGACTCCGCCAGCGGCTACACCCCCACCCCCACCCTCCCCCAACGCCCTGAGCGTCTCTGCCCACGGAAAGCCGACTGTAGACCTACACCGACTATATGCAGAGACAATTGGACACGTGCTCTCCCACACAATCGGATGGCAACATACAGAGAACACACACACGTCCGTGTTTTTTATTTTGTCTCCAGCAGCCGCTGTTGCCGTCCCACCTTGCTGCCGTCATCTCTGGATCTGGCTAATTTCCCCTCTGCCTCCTTCATCGCCCCACGCGGCCCTTCCACCGCATCCCCATTAATGAAAAGCTCTATAAATAAGCACCGAGAGGAGGGAGAGAGACACACAGACGTGGTCAAGTAGAGCGTGGGAGGGAGGTGGAAGGGTGGAAGGGATGGACAGCGAGCGCTAAACTAGGCCAGCAGGGGTGAGGGAGGAGGGCGAGTATCATATCGAAAGTGTTGCGAGCCCCTCCGAGCGGAATCAATGAATCAATTTCGCCGCCCGTCATTTTGTCCACGTCTGGGCGCGTCACTCATCTCTTTGTCACTTGAGTTCGACGCGGCGCCGTCCTTTCTCTCCAGTTTGAGTTCCCAGTGGGACCGATCGCCCCTCCGCCCCTTCTTAGGGAGAGTTTATTTCCTCCATAAAATATACCGTAACGCCGCTACAGAACATTCCACATGCATTATTGATCCGTGTGAGATTACACGTATGTGCCATCTCAGCGTGTGTGCGTGTTCATGCAGCGTTTATGCGCGTCAAGTCGTCTCTCCTCCCTCCTGGTGTGGCCTTCTCCCCCCTCAGTGCCCCATTTCTTTGGAATGACATTGACATGCACTGATTCAGATGTTGCTTGTAGCCTCTCGGCGGTTCTCTTTGATGGATCAATGGTGCTGTGTTAACCTCTCTTCTCTCTCTTTCTTCTTCCCTGCCCTTCCTTTCTGTCTCCATCTCCTCCTCTTCCTCCGCCTCTCCAGGTATTACTCTCCCCCTGCTCCACAATGCCTGCCTGCGGCGGCTGCAGCCCCTCTTTGCCTCGCGGCCAAGCGGGGGCCTCCGCCTCCCCGGCCCCGTCGTTTGCCCAGGAGCAAGAGAGGGGGGTCCGACCCCGGCACCCTCCCCCGCCTCTGTCGCTCCGCCGCTACGCCGACGCCTCTCACCGCCTCTCCCTTCTCCTCCTGCTGCTCTGCCTCCTCCACCTGCCCCCGGCCTGCCACTCCCGGAGAGAGGGCGGCCCGGGCGGGGGCGGCGGGGGCGGCGCCGGCGGCCACTACGTCCCCATCCCTCAACTCCCGCCCCACCACATGGCCCTGCCCAACCTCCTGCACGGCCTCAGCATCGCCGTCGTCCTGGTGGGCAACTCCAGCGAGGTGGCGCTGGCCGGAGCCCGCGAGAAGGAGGACTTCCTCCACATGGCGCCTAACGTGGAGGTGCTGACCATGAATGAGACGGACCCCAAGAGCATCATCAAGAGCATCTGTGACCTCATGACGGACCACTGGCTGCAGGGGGTGGTGTTCGGGGACGACACCGACCAGGAGGCCATCGCCCAGATCCTCGACTTCATTTCGGCCCAGACCCACATCCCCATCCTCGGAGTGCGCGGGGGCTCCTCCATGATCATGGCCGCCAAGGTAGGAACCCCCCCCCCCCCAAAAGGCTTCTTTGCTGTAAATGTGTGGGGAAAAAAAGTGCGTGGGTCGGTTTGACGGTTCAAGTGCATAGAGGAGCTCACCTTGGAAACGGTGAATAAATGATTCACGTTAAAACTTCTAGAATGACGACAAAGTACAACTCTGAATAGTTTGATCCAAGCGCTACTTGGATCTCTGCACGCTTTCATTTCGATTGGCTGCCCTCCGCTGTCAATCTTGGACACGCTGTCTGTCACTCGCTGTGAAAGCTTGTCTCGGACAGATTACGTCACCCTGCAGAGGTATTTTTTTCCGTCAAAGAATGATATTTTTAAAGACTCCAACCGTGACTGCGCAGCCTAAACTGCTGCTGTTTGTTTTCTTCTAAATGTTATCAGTGTTTCATCTTCCATATGGTGTTTTGTTATTTTCCATCTTTTATTTACTCCCTCATTTTGTCTGAGTGTTTTTATGGGTCTCCACAGGGCTCTGCTTTGTGCTGACAGCCAAAATAACCCGAAACCCTGTTACCGGTTGAGAGACACTCCCACGTGCGGGAAAGGGAGACAATGTGCTCTTGATGTGCCCTTCAGAACTTCAACTCATTGTCCTCCTAAAATCGACAGCGAGGCAGACTCATTTAGATTCCTCCTCTCCTCCCCTCCTGCGTCCGTATAAACTCGGGGTGCAGACAGACAGTAAGCCGGGTGTCTGACTTGAAAGACAAACTGCCAACAGCGCCGATGTCAGTGCCAGGATCAGCTGGAGATTTCACCAGACCAGAGAGCTAGATCTCTGCCTATTTACCAGGCCTTGCCTAATGGGATGAAGCAATCTGCTGCTGCTTTATCTGCTCCCGCCTGGGATCCACACTTGGACCCCTATTCCACAAAATCACCCCTTTCATTTAGTGCGCGGCGCAGAGACGCAGCTCTACTGGATGAAAATGGAGGAGCGGAATTTAAATGTGTCTTTCACGGAGGGCAAGCGGGGCGCTTTATGAAAACGCTTACATTTGCTTCTGCTGTTTGGGAACATGCTGGACGCCGTTTTGACCCGGCATCCGGTCTTGGCCGTCCTCGTCCCTCCCGGCGCCCCCCCCTCCCCACCCCAGTTGCTCTGCTGACACTCTGGTGTCAGCGGGTCTTTGTCCCCGCGGAGAAGCGAGCAGCAGTGACGCGGCGAGGCCAGCGGCCACCGCTGTAGCTCGCCTCCCTGTTGCTTCTCATTAGAGCGTTAAGGAGAAGGAGGAGGGAACCGTCCTCCCACCGGGGTGGAAATATCCGTTGACCCCTAACCACACTAACCCTATTTCTGCAAAACATAAAGGTCCCGCCTTGTGCGTGGAGGGTTGCATGTGAGAAACGTCCTGTGGGCATGCTGGACAACGTTAACCCGGACGCAGTGGGGCAGGTGGTTAAGGAATGCACGGGACTGTGTGTGTGTGTGTGTGTGTGTGTGTGTGTGTGTGTGTGTGTGTGCAGGCACAGTATCATTCATTGGGCGCGCGTGCACTCAGTGGCACCAGGAAGCAGGAAAAAAAGAGCAGCGTTTCGGGCAGCGGTTTAATTGGATTCCCCCGGCCACCAGCCAGAGTCGGCTCTCTCCTGAGAGCGTCCTCCCGGCTGCTGCTCTGGGGCCCAGGAGAGCGAGGACGGGGCCCCGCTTAGGCTCAGTCTCCAAACGGATTTGTGTCTGCCTAATGGGCTGAGACAATGGAGGGGACAAAAATACGATTGCCAGGGATCAGGGGAAGAGAAAGACACAGAGAGAGCGAGAGAGAGAAGGTGGAAAGTGGAGACGTTGAGATAGTCAACATGAGATTGGGGGGAAGAAATTCTGCTGTGAGTGAAGGCGTGCAGGGGAGCAGAGGGGTTCGGGACGCCGTCTGCCTGAAGAGGTGATGGAAAGATAAGTGGAGAGGACAAGGGGTGAGTCAACGGCAGAAGAGGAGACTGAGTCGAAGAGAAAATGGCTCTGAAAGTAAGCGGGACATTGGGACAGATGAAGGGAAATGAAGAGAGAAAGGAGAGGCTCTCTCCGTCTCTGTTATTGGGGAGTGAGGGTGTATGAAGGGCAGGCAAAGATTGGGAAGAGGGATTGCTATATGAGGTGTTTATCTCCGGGCTCCCACACACCTACACACAAACACACCGTGCACCGTTAAAGCCGAAGCCGAATGCCGCTCCTGCAGTCGGCGAGAGAGCCCCCCCTTTTTCACTGCACATCCGAGAGGAGCGTGGTAACACGCAGCGACACAGACGCCGGAGAATGCAGCATTTAGATTTTTCATGAGGAGGAAAATAATTCTGGGGGAACAAGATAATTCCATAAAACATCCCCTCCGGAGTGGAGGGGATGGAGGCGCAGTGACACTTTAACTTACTTAAAGACTTGATTTTTGAGTAGGTGAAACTCGAAGCTAAGCGCGGCATTATGTAGTGGAGATGAAGTCCTCCACCCAGTCAAGCATCATGAATCCCGACTTAAACGCTTGCAGTATCCGCCCCTCAGTCAGCCTTGGTGCTCGCCGAGTCTTCCGACATCTGTAACGAGAGCACAACTAGATATTTTACAGCCGTTCCTCTCGGGGATGGAGGCTCTGCACGCTGCCGGCCTTGCATCGGTGCATGCAGCTTGCCAGTGGTAGGTGGCCCATGTGTGCTGTCTGTACTACTGCCGGAGCAGGGACAGGTGAACCTCAGCAGCTTGAAGTAAGAGAGTTAAAATGGATGGAGGGGAGGAAAGAGGAAGCCAAGCGGCTCCAGAGTTAACAAGGAATGAAGACCAAGGCGGAAGGAAGGAAACGGGAATGAGGGAGACGGATGGAGGCAAAGGGCACTCACATCTATATCAATGAGTGAGACCAGCGGGGAGGGAGGGAGGGGGGGGAGCTTGGAGCGGTGAGTAAGAGGACGCCTGCACCGAGTGCGCGGCCGAGGAAAGAGACGGGGGAGAGGGAAGGCGAGAGGCGGGCGCGCTCTGCAGAGTGCTGCAGCAGGTGTGTCGCCGGGCCGGCCGAGAAAGAGAAGCTGCCTCTTTGCACGAGTAATAGCTGCCTGGATGGAGATGGAGGAGGAGGAGGGAGGGAGGGAGGGAGGGAAAGATGGAGAGTGCAGCTGTAGCCACATCTGTGAAAGACAGGACAAGATAGAGGAGGAGGAAGAGGAGGAGAAGGAGGGAAAGCTTCCCAAATCTAAGGGTGTGTGCGTGTGTGTGCATGTATCCTTGTGTGTGTGGCGGTTCCCAGCGCCGCCGCGCTCGCCGTCCCTCCACAGCGTCCGTTGGACCGCAGTAAACAGTGTGATCTGAAGCTTTGGCTAATGCTCACTTTATCAGGACACGGCGAGCCGCTTCCCTCCGCCTGTCTAGAAGGTATGGCCTTGTGGCAGCACAAATAGCTGGAGCCGGCGCTGATCACCCCGGGGCCAGTACACAATACCAGCAGCGAGCTCGTCTAGCAGCTGAGGATGCTGGTGCTGTAGATCAGCAGAGGGATAGCATCCACTTGCTCGCAGGGTTTCAGCCGTTGGAGCGTCAGCAAATTAATGGGAAAAGGGAACTCAGCCAACGCCAGTACCTGAGGGACAAAGGCGTATGAATGTCACAAACATACAAAGACACACAGACGCACAACGAACGCCCCAAAGGTGTTTTTTTCCTCTTCTTTTTTATCTACAAATTCACTGGAAGACGCGTGTTACAAGGGCGAACCCTGCACCCTGGTGTAGGAATATTAAGTACGCAGCGTAAGAAATGCTAGGCTAGATTCGGACTGCTGCTGCTGCACCGCCATCATCACGCACACACACACACACACAACGTGGAGAGATCGCTCTCACACACACCGCAACCCTTTTGTGTAACTGGCAGCCGTCTCCAGGAAGAAACCAGCGGGATGTGATCAATTAACTTGGGCTCAAGTAATTGAGGCTTTTCATCGTTTGCAATGTGGCCGTTTTTACCCGCGGGTGTTCGAGCCTTTTGTAAGAAGCGATAGAGCGATTTTGTGTCCCAGCACAAGCGTCTTTGTGTGTGTGTGTGTGTGTGTGTGTGTGTGTGTGTGGTTAGACTTGTGCTAATTCTTCAGAGCCCCGTTGATAGTCAAATTGTAGTTGAACTGTGTCCAGGGATAATTCTGGTGTAGTGGGTGTGCGTGTGTGTGTGCATGTGTGCGTGCGCGTGCGTGTGTGTGCGTGTGTGTGTGTGTGTGTGTGTGTGGGTGTGTGTGCGCGCCAGTTGAAAAACCCGATCACAGCCAGGGTGAATTTGGTGGAAATGTTTTTTTTGGTTCCCTTCTATCGTCGTTGTCGTCCTACCTTCAGGACGAAAAATGACGTTAATCGCTCGTCACTTCCTGTTTTGTGACGTTGTATTTTCTTTGACCTGTCCCTGCATTCATAATCCCAATTAATGTCCTACAGTAGCACCCATTGTTGTAGTAATCACTGAGGTCCTGTACTCTTAATAATGTACGGCGCAGCTCAGCTTGGCGGCGGCGCGGCGTCCTCGCTAAAACACAGACACAATTAGGAGCATTTGTTAGCGATAAGGGAATTAAAAGCGAGTGTTCCTGTGCCTGACGTCTCTCTCGGTGCCTCGCTTCTTCCCGCCTCTCTCTGTTCCCGTGGCTTTTCTCTCGCTCGCTCCCCTAATTGTTCGGTTCAGTCATGGATTTCGTCGTGTCCAGCAAAGCGCCGTAAAACCCTTTAACGGCGTTCTGATCCGTCCTTTCATCCCGCTCCCTTTGTCCGGCTCTGTTCCCCGGTGTTCCTCTGTTGGTGTTCTCTCCGGCTAGGAGCACCTTCTCATATCTGGCTGTTTTCAATTGTAAAAAAACTTGAAAAATGACTTGGAAATTGTGTTCGAGGCACAAATACATTTATAGCCTTTTTATGTCTGTCCCTCTTTCTTTTTCCAAAATGTGGGCTAAAGCAGTACCTCCTCATGTGGAGTGTCTCGATGGACAACACTCCCACTTAATCAAGATAAGATGAACC